TTTTTATTTATTTTCAGAGTTAACGCACTATAAAAACATTACTGAGACCACGAGGATGCCATGAAACAGTAAAGTTTGAAATTTATGGCTTAACTACTTTTGGGTCATCAGCATACTAATTGCCTTCTCTGTAGTTTAGTTTCCTTAGCTGCCAATAGACACAAATATACTGAGCTAATAAAGACCTATCACAGATATAACACTTGGTAGGTTCCAAGAAGCAAGTCTTTTCCTCATCCTTCAGGGAGGAAGCTTATATAATGATCCAACTAAACAGAATTTGTTCAGTAAGTCCACAATATTATCAAAATTGGAGCCAGGGTGTTTGTCATAAGTTGAAAATAAAAGGTCGAAAAGATTTTAGAAACTTTCACTTATGTGAAAAAATTTTACTTAGTGTAAAATGTTATAACCTAGCTAATCAACATGGTCTCATAAGGTTCCTAGTTTTGTTTTCTTAATTAATTATAACTGATTTAATATGATCTTTTTTTAAAGTGGTAATTCAGCCTTGATCATTCATTTATGAAGTTTTTGTAGAATGCTTATTGTCCCACACTGTTAGAGCTGCCCTATATACAGAGGCAAACAAAGTAGACAAAAATCCCAATCTTCATAGAATTTAGAAATTTAGATTCTTTTGGTAGGAGACAGAGAATTAAAAAAAAACATATTTAATGCCAAATATTGTGCCACAGTGAAAACCAGGGTGGTATAAAGGAGACAGAGCATAGGTAGGCATGGATTTTATGGAGGATGGTAAGTGATGGTAAGTGATTTTTATGGAGGATGGTAAGTGATTGACGTTTGAGAAGAGACCTGGAGGAGAAAGGAAGGAGACACAAGGTATTTGGGGAGGTGCATATTTCAGGAAGACGGAATGGCAAGTGCAAAGTCTGGAGTTAGAAGCTGGCTAGAGGCCTGAGGACCACACTGAATGAGATGGGAGCCATGGGAGGCTCTGAGTGGTAAATAACATGATCTAATTCAGTTCTTAAAAGGAGCACTCTGGCTATTCTAGTTAGGGTCAAAGTAGGGAGAGCAGTTAGGAGGTTTCCAGAGTAATCTAAGTTCCAGATGCTGTTGGCCAATCGGTTCTGAGGAAAGTTTTACATATTTGCTTTAGATCTCTAATTTTAGTTTTTCGTTCGCATCCCATTTTAGTGGTGTAGAACTCTGTTGGAAAATCTTTTGTATCACCTCAAATCACCTGCCAACTATATTTTTTATATTTCTTTCAATAGAACTCTCATATACACGTGAGCTTTTCTTCAATGGTCCTTATTACATTTTACTCACATTTTCAGGTGAAAGGATTCTGAATCTTTCAGCATGCTCTTGTTTTGCTTCTGAAGAGAGGAGTTATAGAGATGGAGCACCAGAGGCAGTGAACTGATGATGTGATTAAATCCCATCATCTCCTTGGGCCTCGGTAATGGGCACAAGTTAATCTTATTGATTTAGACAGGAGATAATTTGGAGGCTGAATGCTTTATGCTACTTTACAGATGAGACCCACTTTCACAGCTGAATAGTTGGATGGTAGTAGAACCAGGGAACCAGGAGTAGACCCCCAAGTCATATTTGTTTTCTGTGAAAGGCTCCCCTGGGAGAACTGACCTTGGCCCTTAGTCTCTAGCCTCTATTCCTGTGTGCTATACCTTTTGATGACTTTTTTACTTTATCAGCCTGTCTAATACTATAAGTGTGATCTCTTTGAGGCCCCTTTCTAATTTACTGTCTCCTTTAATTTATAGAAGTCCTTGACCAACTGAAAAATAACACTTATACTTTCAAAATCCAACAATTTAAAAAACAAAAGCATGACTAGGACACACATTAGTACTTAGTTCACAAGCTGCATGCGCACAGGACCTTTTGTATGAATGACCTGGATGGATTTGCTGCATGTTTAAGACACATGAAAATCTTTTAAACTCTTCTGTTTACCGGATGGTATTTGTGATGGTTAAGAGCATAGGCTCTGGAACCCTCAGCTTGTTCCTCATTTCTGCCTCTTGATGTGTGACACGTTGGAAATTTTGCTTAAAGACCCTGAGCCTGTTCATTCATCTGGCAAATGGGGATTAAGCCGGATGTAGTCCCAGATACTTAGGAGTCTGAGGCAGGAGGATTATAAATTCAAGGCCAGACAGAGCAATTTACTAAGGCCCTGTCTCAAAATAAAATTTTAAAAAAGGGATGAGGATATACCTCATTGATAGAACACTTGCCTAGCATGTGTAAGGCTCTGGGCTCCATTCCTAGCACCATACACACACACACACACACACACACACACACACACACTATTACCACCACCACCAACAACAAAAAGGGTTTAAATTTATTCATTAAATCATTGTAAGGATTAAAACCTGTAGCTGAAAATCTGTCCCATAGTGGGTGGTAAACAATTGCTACTATTATTATTGCTGTGGTTATTATGTGTTGTTTTATTAAGCATACTAATGATCACCATCATTTGTAAATTTAGTTTAGTTTTATAGTTTGGAAAGCATTTTCATATACATCTGAGTTTAGGAGTCCCGTGGGGTAGGCAAAGCAATAACAATTGTAATCTCCATTTTATGCAAGACTCAGAAGCAGCAAAACTAAGTGACTTGGCAAAGACTTACAGCTTATGAATGGCAAAGTTAGGCCCAAATCACTCAGGTTCCCCGGGGTCCACAATCCAGGTTATTATTTTTTCTTTTAAAAATGTTTCTTTATTTTGGTTCTTGGGCTGTGGTCACTTGAGTCAGAGCTTATCATTATTAGCCTTATACTGCCAGGTTGTGTTTGTCATTGACTTGTCTCATAAAATGCACGGCTCACTGAAATGTTTGGACTCGGTACTATCACATTCTCAGCCCTGTCACATTCTGCAGTTTTGTTTTGTTTTTTTTTTGATTGAGGTTTTCCTTTTTACTTTTCTCCTCCTTTTAAGAACTAATGATGAAAAGTGCTTGTAATCTTGTCATGTCATCTGTCAGTAGAATTTACCAACTTGCTGTAATTGTTTCACAGTACATTCCAGAAGAGTGAGGAATGATCCCAGGATACGCTCGGTCCACAATAAAAATACAACCAATTATTTGAACTAGGTTCTGCTTACCCCACCCCTAATTGTATTAATGGAATATTAATAGAATAGAACAAAACCTCTTTCTCCTCCCATTCTCTTAATATTCCTATAAAAGAAAAAATGGAACACATGTACATGACTGACTGAATGTTAATAAGGTTGATAGAGAAAAGGAAAAATAAAAGTGATAATGCCAAAACATGGAAAAATTTCTAGGCATAATGTGATATTGGCACAAAGGACCCCATTTTACGCCTGTCTGACCAATCTCGGGGCTTCATCAATAACCACATCTGATTAATTATACTGAGGTAGCCAAAGAAATCAACAGAATAAAAAAAAATGTGGCCTTTTGGATGAGGAATGGGCAGCTGCATCATCAGTACAGCTTGTGGTCTGTTCGGTTCTTTTCAAGGACAGAGCCCTGGAAGGTGGCTCTGCTCCAGTCAAGTGGAAGTTCATGGGTGACAGTGGACTTGAGGATCTCACACTGGTGTCCTCTCTTTTTGTGCTCCATCTTTATCATGTCCTGAGCTTTTCCTCATAGAGTCAACACAGCATTAGGATGGATGCCTCAAATCCACTCACTTAGAAGTCTTTATACACGTTATAACCTCTTATGCTTTATTCACACTTCATGAGTTAGTGTGAATAAAGCATTTAGAGAAAACAGTGACAGTCATATGGTACCGTTTAAAGCAGTTTATCTAGTATTACTGCCATTAAAGATGGGGAGGATTTTTGGGTTTTGTTTTTGTTTGTTTTTTTTGGCGTGGCTTATGGATTCTTCCAGATCTTTCTCCTCAACTTGGACTATGTGATTGGAAAGGCTCTCTTCTCCTTTTACGCCATTTTATAGCTCCAGTTCTTGCCTAAGTTGTAGTGTGTAAAAACAACAACAATTACAAAAATTAATAAAGAAGATTGTGTTTGAAGTTAGACACACTTGGCTATTTAGAGCTAAATGCTGGTTCTGTTAACTGCTTTAGGGACATGGGACCCATTGTTGAAACTACTTCAAACATTGTTCTTCTCATCTCTAAATACAGAATGATCCCTATTACATTGTGCTGATCTGATTGAAATTGACATTATATGTGAGTTTTTTAATCCTTAGTGAATGTGTAGAAACTGCTAGCTTTACTTCAAAAATATTTGTTGAATGAATTTATTTTGAATTCCTAAGTAATAATGATAGCAAGGAATTTTTTTTTAAAAAAAATGCCTACTATATGCCAGATACTCTATACAGAATACATCATTTATCTTCACAATAGTCATAGAGGTGGCCACTATTAACATGCATTTACAGAGGAAGGAGCTGAGAGATGTGAGAGAGTTTACTCATGGTCATGTAGGGCTCAGGCAACATTGTCCTGACTGAAGACTATACTCGAACCTCTGCTTCTGATGGCTTAGTGAGCAATCCAGATGTTTCACCAGGTCAAGCCATTGGCCTGGAGGTGGTTGATCCTTTTGCCCATTGAGAGCTGAAGAGATGGGATGGACCAAATAGGGCATTGTAGAAGAAGTATAGTTGTACCTTTTTCTATTGGCTCTCATTTTCTATCTTATCATAGATTTGGATGGGTAGAATTAATACAAAAATAAAACTCCTCTCAAAATTAGAAATCACGTCATGTGAAGAGTCAAACTTAGACTTGCTACACCTGCAGGAGGAAATAATAAAGAAAATAAACTTTTTAAAGCAAGTAAATTAGGGCAGCATGATTTTTTTTCTGACTCTGTTCCAGCTGATAGCCACCCACAGGGCTGTACTCTATGTAAGAAGCTGTAAGCTGCTTCCTGGAGGCTAGTTTAGCTTTTGCAATGAAAAAGTGTATGGATGTGGGTGAAGTTTACAGATTTTAGATTCAAATTTTTGTAACATTTTTTTCTTCTTAATATTTAGACCCCAGAAGAACTAGAAGATGATTCTGACTTTGAGCAGGAAGATTACGACGTGCGTAGCCGGACAAGCGTTCAAACGGAGGATGACCAGCTCATTGCAGGGCAGAGTGCACGGGTGAGTGGACATTCAGGACTTTGAACATAGCACACGACTGTGTTCACCAAAATGGTTTGAGGATATTTCTAAATTTAAGGAATTGGGATCCCAGAGATTCCCAGCTCAGAAATCTGTGCTCTTGTCTAGGGTGGTCTGTTAGCAATTCACATTCAATACAGTGAAAACAACCCCCAGGGCTCTTGATTCATTCTCACCCTCCTCTTTCTCTACCCCTTAAAATATGGCTCTTGTAGCAAAGCAAATTCTAATGTGTATAATGGATTTAACTGGGGATGAGGGCCATAATTAGATAGTTCACAGACAGGGGACACTGCAATGCTCATATTTTGTCTTGCACAGTCACCATTTTCCTAAGTGATATTTTGCCAAGTTTATTAAAAACACAAGTAGTAATGACAAGAGGTCAATCAGGTACCACTCTGTTATTGTCCAGGACATTGCTTCATACTGTGGCCAAAGTTCTCTGTTATTCAAGACTACATTGGTTTAAGGCCATCAAGTAGAGAAAGAAATTTTGTTTTTAATACCTACCTATTGCCAGGGTAGATCCTTTGTGGAATTTCTTTTTCTATCACATGGCGGACTTAGTAGAAACATGCCAATTTAAGGCATAGAGCAGGAAGCAACACACATTTGAGTGCTCTAGGTTATGGTCTACCATCACGAAAGTCCAAAGAGCATCCTAGAGTTGGATCAGTCAGATTACCTGTATCTTTTGCAGAATAGAAGTAAGTAATCTAGGCAGGTAATGAGTGACAGAATCCCTAGGCATTGTATAAAAGAGTGATATTTCCCTCTCTTTAAAGTCTCCGTTTCCATTGAGTAAAAATAAACAAATTATAGTATAACTGAGAATTAGATATTCTAATCATCTGTATTAAGTTTTACTTATTGAAGGAGAAGCATGAGATTGAGAAAGAGATGGTAAGAGATTTGGAGACCCTAGAAAGCTCATACTACTTTGGGAATTGTCTAAGCAAAATAGGAAACAACCAGTCAGAGATTAAAATGAAGAGGACTCAAAGGAGATGCTGAATCAAGAAAGACTTTGCACCTAACACTCAGTTTCATATATGTGCTTTATGATCTGATAGTCTCACCCAGCCATCAAATGGCCCAGAAAATATGGACACAGATTGATAGGACAAATGTGAATATAAAAGCCAGAACATCAAAGACACAGTGATTTTAATAGATTTGAACTTGGATTATAAAACATACAATTAGGACCATGCTCAGAGTTACCCATTGCTTGAATTCATGGAGTTTGAGACCCATCCTCTATAAAATGTGAATAAAAGACTTATGTGATAGGATTCCTTTGAGTATGAAATAAATAGGCACAATATTTGCCATGTAGTAAGTGCTCAGTAAAAGAAACTCTGATACTTATTAATCTTCATAAAAGAAATACCTCTGATCACATGGGATGGCAGCAATAGAAGGTTCATAAATGGGCCCAGAGCCTCCTACTTTGAAAATTCCTTGCCGACAATTCAGTCTTCTCTAGAATGTTAAAAATTCGGAAGGTCACTAAGTAGGAATCTTTTGAGGCTATGTTGGCACAACATCAAGCTATTTAATCAATCAAAGAAACTCATCTTCAAAATTAAGTAAAAACAGCATTTTTATCTCAATGACAAAAGGCGAGTTTGAGTAATTCATCCAAACATTAATCAATTCAAAGTTAATTTCATTGACTGATTGCAAGTTGGTATGGACACTTGCCTGATTCCACAAATAAGTTTTCTCAAAGATCAAGATGTAGTACACATTTCTTATGTATGTTTTTTAATCACCATCTGGTCAAAATGGAAAGATTAATTCACTTTTTACAAGGAAGAAAAGAGTTTCAGTATACCTCTCCTTCACGCATACTATATACATTAGACATCCTCAATGATCATGGATGGGAACAAAATTTAGATGCCCCCTGTCTTTATCATTTCTTCACACCATCCTCTTTTTTTGAAAGTTTTTGCAGCATGAATTATGAACATGGCCCAAGATAGTAAGAACAAAGTACTTGTATAATGTAGTACTTGCAAATTTGTCTTTGAGATCCGTCACGTGGTCCATGTGATTAACTTGCAGCAGACAGCATTACTTATTGAGTCAGCCTACTTTAGCCTGTAATTATATGATGACAAATCGGAGAAGTAGAATTATGGCTCTTAAGTTGGAAATAAGAGGGTGCATTGAATTGCTGAGATGATAGATGGTCGAACTTTTGACCAGCAAAGTGTGATAAGCTGTTCAAAATTGTGAAGGAGGCAAACTTTGTCTTTGAAAAGAGGCATTAGCTCTTCTCAGCAGCCATTCCTCCATGTTAATGGTCCTATGTTGTGTTCTCATTCAGAGAAATTCTTCCTTTTTGTAAATGATAAATTAATCTAAAAGGAGGTTAAATGTGCACTCCTTCAACATTGCTGTCAAATTCTGGAATTAGAGTATTTCTTATTTCCCTTGTATGCCCTTGTCTATGGTTCATCTACATTTCTAAAAAATCATTTCTCTTATTGGTGCATAATTCTGCATGATAGTGGGAATCCTTATGCCTTATTTGTACATGCACATAACTTATTTTGATCAATTCATTCCCCTGTGCCTCACCTTTCCCTTCCCTCCTCCCTTCCCTGTTCTACTTGTTCTACTATATGTGCCCCCTTCCATTATTATTATTATCATTATTTTAATTAATGCATGATAATTGTATGTAAAATCTGTATTCACTGTGCTATAGTCGTACATGGTTGTAGCAAAATTTGATTGATTTTGTTCCCTAGTCCTTCTCCATGCCCTTGGTTCTTCACCTCCCTCTCAATTCCCTTTCTCTACTTTATTGGTCTCCCTTCTATTTTCACGAGATCCCCCTTTTTATTCCTTTTCCCCCCATTTCTCTCCATTTTCCACGTTTGAGAGAAAACATTTGCCCCTTGACTTTCTGAGTCTGGCTTATTTCACTTAGCTAATGTTTTCCAGCTCTATCCATTTACCAGCAAATGACATAATTTCATTCTTCTTTATGGTTGAGTAAAACTCCATTGTGTATATATACCACATTTTCTTCATTTATTTTTCAGTTGACTGGCACCTAGACAAGTTCCATAACTTGGCTAATTTGAATTGTGCTGCTACAAACATTGTTATGCATATATTACTGTAGTGTGCTGATTTTAGTTTTTTCCTATAAATACCAAGGAATGGGATAGCTGGGTCACATGGTGTCTGAAATAGCTACATTTTAAGGGGGTGCAGGAGAAGAAATGGAAATAGGTAATGATGACAGCAATCTGATAATTCATGAAGGTTATCTTGCCCTCTGAGCCTAGATGTGACATCTTTTTTGCGGGGGAGAGTGGGTACCAGGGACTGAACTCAGGGGTACTTGTCCATTGAGTCACATACCCAGCCCTATTTTGTATTTTATTTAGATACAGGTTCTCACTGAGTTGCTTAGCGCCTCCCATTGCTTAGGCTGGCTTTTGAACTCACGATCCTCCCAAGCTGCTGGGATTATAGGTGTGTGCCACTGAGCCTGGCTTATATGTGACATCAACCTTTTCTTCACAGGCAGATGTAGTTAAAACTGGTCAGTGACACTGTGGGACACTTAACCTTGGCAACAGAATGTATTATCTGGAGTCATATAGATCTGATTTAAAAATATGTGCTTGGTAAATTTGTGCAATTTTGAGGTCACTCTCTGAACCTCTCTATGCCTCAGCTCCTTGCATACAGAGGGATGATGCACAGCTTTCTGCCTCCAGATGCCATTAGGAGAACCACATTATGTAATGAACCACACAGGATGTGTCATATAACTTTGCTGAGATTATTAAGCTGGGGATGATGACGCTTCTAGCTTGAGATAGTCATTCATTAGAAGGCTGGCAAGTAATTTTGCCTAAAAAAGTTGGATAATTCAGGCAATCATGGGGGTTTTTATTTGAATTAGTGGGAAAGTTACCTCAATTTTCTAATTGACTTCATTTCCTAGCCTGACACTAGTTCCAGTCAAATGACCCACTTTTTGACTACTTATATTTGTTTTCATGCTTTAAAAATAAGTAAGTAAAAGTGGGCTCATTGTGGTTTTGGCTCCTTTAATCATTTTTTTTTATATAAAATTTCTTGTACTTGAAGGCTTAATGTTAGATTCTTTACTCTGTGTTTAAGAAGGGAAGCCTAGCCAGTTTGGGACCCATACACTTCAAAAGTTATTTTTCTCCCAGAGATTAGAAAAATAACTGTATCAAATGCCCCTGGAGATTTAGGTTCAACAAAAGATTTAGATCTATTTGAATGGTTGCTGGCTTGTATCGGTGATTTCTTCTTTCATTTTAACAGATGAGTTTATTACATTAATCAAAACAGATGGTTGACTGTTCAGAGGAAAGCCTGGGAGCCTGGGGTAAAGGGTAGCAGTGCATGTGGATTTGAATCTCTGATGCCCCCAATTTGAGCCCCAGCTCAGCCAGATCAACAATCTGGAGAACAAGACTGGAATGGATGGAAGCAGCAGAAACTCTGACTACCCGGATGATCACATCACACAAACAGAAAAGCTGATTTGTCTCCTTTCCCCTTGGCTATGAACATAATTTCTCTCATGTTCCCTTAGTTTGAGGAAATGAACAATTGCATGTTATATATTTTGAATTGAATTTGATTTTAATGTAGCCAGCCTGTATTTTTTTTTCACGTTAGAACGGCTTTAATGTGTTAACATTTCAAACTGCTGAGTTACATTGATAAGACCTAATTAAAACTCATGTGTTGAATTTTAATTTGATTAACTTGCAAATTTTGCAGTTTGTGATCTACTGTTTATAGATAACCTTTTTTTAAATTCCAGTTTCAGAAAAGGTCAATTATGAATTCTTAAAAGCCAAGAGCATTTTAAGAATATTTAGGAAAATACTCCAGATCATTGAGAGCTACATAAGCAGAAACAAATGTAATGACACTTGCACCCAAGTCACACACCATTAAGTGCATTATGCGGGTCGAGTACCCCTACAGTCAAAATAACATCTTCCTGTCCAAATCTGCTTTGAAAGGGCCAGTTTTCCTTCAGAATTGTGTCCTTAGAAAACGCTTGTCAGTTCTGGCAATTCCTCTTGAATTATGTTGATGCAGTGAGTTGGAAAATGTTTAAGCAGTCAATCAAAAGGTATTTATTGGGTTTCTGGGCCGAGCAGGATATGAAGGGCTGTACCTTAAGAAAGGAGAGAGAAGCCAGGAGCAGGGCTTTACTAGAAATTAATGAGAGAGCAAGGCAAGGCAGATAATATCCAAGCACTAAATTGTGCATTGGAAACTCAAGTGCTGTAGTTGACGGAAAAATGTACACCCTTCCATGCACAAATTAACCTTTTGGGATAATGAAAGGTACATTGTTTTCCATCTGGGGACAGTATGTTGAGTGTTGAGTCTGCCACTAGTCTGTTGTGGGTTTTTTTGTTTGTTTGTTTAGTTTTTTAATGACCTGTGCCATCTAAATAAAATATGATTAGCTCTTTTGCATATGGAGGACAAATGAATCTAGGAGAGTTTTAGGATATCAGACAGGGATGCTTCAAAGGGAAAAAAAAAGTGTTCATTTAACTTCTTCATATCCAAGCCTATTGAAATCCAATGGGATAACTTCCTTGTTATTAATGTTGTACCAAAAATGTGAGCTTATGACAAACTCTTTTATATATTATACATCTTTTTAAAGCTTACAAAAAAGACCTTAAATTTTTTCAAAATTCAGTATTTTAAATATCTTAGCTAGACTGTTTATACCATTCTTCCTTTTTAATATATGAGTTATAATTTGCACACATGCACACACTGATACTTAATAGTCACCAACAAGGATGCGTGGAAATTAGTAGACCTGGATTCTTGTTAATAAGAAGATGCAGCATCTGGGTAGCCGCTTGTCCAAAGACACATGCCAGTCATATGAAGACAGCTTTTCAATGGATATATGAAACCCAGCACCAGGATACACAGCTTGGTGTGCAGTGTTTTTAATTTCAGTGAGTCTTGCTGACTGCACGAGGGATCCTTGTGGAGCATGTAAGCTACATGTTTTTGTATGGTGAGCTGGTTATGCACAAGGTGTTAACTGGGTTTGAGTTAAATTTCTACAGCTTATAAATTGTGTGTAATATTAGGAATTAAATTAATTTCTCTAGGCCACGATATTATCCTTAAAAAATGGGGATAATAATGATATTACAATGATTAAAAGTAGATTGTTATTATATATACACAGACTATCACAACTCCAGTATACATGTAAGTACACAAGCAATGAGGCCAATCTTCAATTTATAGCTAATCACATGGACTCTGAGATCTTCCCTTTTCTTGTTGACAACTGAGTAATAAGCTAAGGAGAGGTGGAAAGGAAAACTAGAGGCAACAAAAATTATCCTGTAATGTAAACAATAATACCACCCATGTTGGCTTTCATTTTTTTGGTGGACAAAACATTTGTCGCCCATTATAAGATTTTGAGGTAATTATTTATTGCTACTATCTTGTGTCTGAAAAAATTAAGGATATGATTCATGCAACAATTAGGTCTTAACCCAACTTAGTGACATCCCCAGTTTTCATGAGTTCATGTCCACTAATATTTCTGTAATACCTCAACTGTCTTCCTTCCACCTAATTCACTTGTGTTGGGTGGAATGCTTTACCATTTAGATAACAGTTCCCTTGAGTAATTTTACTTGCTCATTGAAAAAACTATTGATCCCCCAAATCAAAACTCTTTTGTCTCTCTCCTGGAAATTACCTATGTGCCAGAAGTAGAGGAAGTACTGAACAAGTAGCCACAGGCTTCTATCTGCAAACCAGGTTGCATGTGGTCTGAGAGGGTTTAATGAGGTGATGTCCAACATTTCATTCTGGGCCTGCTACAGAAGTAGTGTTAAACCAATACCTTCATTTCTTGTTATTTCTAGTAATTATGTTCTATAAAGTAGCTAGGAATGCTTAATGAGTGAATACATAATCATTGTTCCTAGGGGATATGTAGGGATAGATTCCTGAGATGGCAATTCAAAATCTTTTCTCCATCCAATTAATGCATGGCCATGTTTAATGGGTGTTAGCTTACATTCTTGATTCATAAACATTGAACTCAAGACCGATGGCACTGACACATGCCTAAATGGAACTTATCTATCACGTGAATTTTTCTCTGTAAGGCACCTCACAGCATGTTGGCACTACCCTTGGGAGCCATTTTACACAGCAAAATCGCCAGCAAAATATACAAAGATTCAAAAAGTATGGCACTAAATAGACCACAAAAAGGATACTTGTTTACAGTATGAGACCTGAAAATGGGAAGGCAGAGAATTGCCTTGTTCAACCTCATCTGGGAATATGCACATGGGTGACTCAAATTTTTTGCTGCTTTTCCCATCCTTCGCAAGTGATTATGAAAGTGCGGCACATATTGATCTTGGGTATACAAATATATTTTAGAGAGTAGGCAAATTTGCAAATGAAGAGTCTGTGAATAATGAGAAGGAAGCCTACAGTTCTTTTCTTTTCTATATTCCCTTACCCAGCAAGTATTGAAAATTGACCTTTGTTTCCTAATTCTATACAATGTTGAGCATCATTAATCTCAAGATACAAAATCTGAAATGCTCTGAAATTCAAAAGATGATGAACTACAATAAGACAAAAAAAAAATTCAGATTTTGGAACATTTTGGGTTTTTTGGATTAGGATGCTCAGCCAGTACAGTCTATGCAAATACTCAAAAAAAAAAAAAAAAAACCACTTCAAATCTGAAACACTGCTACACTACTTGTCTCAAAACATTTCAGATAAGGGATATTTAATCTGACTTTCTCCCATTGTGACCCCTCTGTGTACATACTCAAAAGCTCTACAGTCAGCCATGGTCATCCTGGGTTTCTAGAGAGGCGATGGGAAATGCTGAGGTTAGGCATGCCGCCCTGAAATGCCCTAAGTAGGTCTGCTTGGCATCTCTCTGTAGATGCCTTCATTTACACTTATGAAAAGTCTCCCCACCCCACCCAACTTGGATGCTCAGATATTGTTTAAAATTCTTTTCCTTCCCAGCAACAGAAGGCCTTTTTTCTTTTTTTCCCATCTCTGAACAGATTTCAGTGTTGAAAAAGGTGCATTCTTTCATCTGGTAAAAGTTTCCTGAGACCAAATATAAAAATTGTCAAGAATAGATTCTTTTGAACAAACATATGTCATCAAAGAGACAGAGAAGTTCTGTTACTGTCAATGTGTGTGTACTTTGGATGTCTCTGTGTTTTGTTTTGTTTTTTTTTTATATATATATGGTAGAAGGGCATGGGGAATTGGGGGCCCTTACCAACCTGTGCTCCTGGCCTCCCTGGGATGGAGGAGACATTACTTTCCAGAATGGCAGAGCATCCCATAGACCATGTCAGGGACTGGCTCTGCCATCCACAGGGGGCAGAGTCCAATGACAGCCTGCACTTCCCTTGTCTCACCATTAGTCACACTTTGTTCCGTAACCCACACAGGCCATCATGGCGCAACTACCACAAGAGGAGAAGGCAAAAATAGCTGAGCAGGTGGAGATATTCCACCAAGAGAAAAGCAAGCTGGACGCCGAAGTGGCCAAGTGGGACGACAGCAGCAATGACATCATTGTTCTGGCCAAGCAGATGTGTATGATCATGATGGAAATGACAGACTTCACAAGGTGAGGCCCAGACACAGCAGATGAAGATTTTTTTTTTTTTCATTAAACCCAGACCTATTGGCCTCTGGCCAATATGTACTTGAGAGGACATGTAAAAACCTGCTGAAAAATTAAAATACTGTATCAAAGCAAGGTGCTGTGCTTTCCTAGGGGTTTCATATAAATTTACATAGGTAAGTGAAAAGGGTCTGGACGTAATTCCTGGCATAATAGGTCCTTTTGGTCAAAGAGAACAGATTCATTTTTTAATTTATTATTACTTTAATTATCCTAAGTCATAAAATAAAATCCCAGAGGATGGGTGATTCATCTTTGGTTGGTGCTATTTTGGAGTGTGTTTCAATATCACTTTGAAGATTTGTTAATATTCCTCTGGATGATAATATGCTTTTGGAAAAATTCTGTGTGTGTGTATGTGTGTATTTAGGCGCATGTGCACGTGTATGTGTTGTAATTTCAGCTCATGATCTAGCATTAATTTCTACTCAAATTTACCCTTCATACAAAAATTGGGTACAACAATCTAAAATCCTAGAAGTTTGTCAGGGAAGTTAAAAATCTGTATGAGTGTTATTCCCTTTGGCTCTGAGCATTACTTTTGATAAATCAAGGGACCACTCAGGAATTTGTCAGGAGCCTTTTCTTCACTAGGAGTCATCGCTTGTTCTGCTACTGCACTCTGATCTCTTCTTTAAAAGCAATGACAACTCTTCCTGCTCTTCCTACCGCACAGAGAGCAAACAAGGGGAGAACATTCCTAAATTTTGAGTTAGGCTATCAGAGGATTGGGGGCAAGTATCTTACTGTCATTATTTCTTTGCAAAACAGTGAAATAATACTTGTCTTATTAATTTCACAGGAAAACTTTTTTTGTAATTCAAAGAGGTAATTCAAGTATAAATTATGCTGCCAAACTAATGTAAGCTATCATTTTTCTGTTTTTTTTTTAATACAGAGACACATACACAAGATGTTTTTTTTCTCTTTTTTTCGTAAGATGTTTTAGTGATTCAACATGGTTTTTGTTATTAAAACTAGGTAAGATATATGGCAGTATCAAGACATCACCTTTTGGGTGACCAAGTTTTTAATGGTTGTTGAATGCTTCTAATAAGAAAAGGCCAGAATTGATCATAGGTTATAATAAAACATGGAATATCTCTGTGTCATCCCCTTTACCCTTTGCCTCTGGCCAATATGTACTTGAGGACATTATTTGGCTCTTTCTCCAAATATTTTAAAATTGTTTTTGACTTCAGTGAAATAACTTTAATGTTATGAGGGTGACCTTCGAGACTTTAAATGTCATCACATTCATTAGAAGTTCAAATGTGTACATTTGGTTGGTCTGTGTCGACTTCACCTATTTATTTCATAAAAAGTAATATTAGGAAAAAAAAATGTCTGAGCTGTTATTTAAATCCAGACTGTCATGGCAGCCTCAGTCATTGCTTCTCAAGGCCTGTGATGACTTAATTTGTTCACTTTCTACATTTTATTAGTATTTTATCTGATGGATATTATGCAATCCATTAATCACATCACCGGAACAAATAATCTCATTAGTTTAAAGTGAATAATGAATCTAGTCATGTTGCCGGTTTAGATCAGGAGAACATTTTATAGTTCTTGAAATTAGATATAACTGTGGTCAAGGGAGAGACATGTATTTGAGGAATCTTATTAAGTGATGTTAAATAAGACAGACTTTTTATTAGTGAAAGTATCGTTTTGAAAGTGAAAAGAAGTCTGCTGTGCTTTCCTAGGGATTTCATATAATCATTTTTGTGTCGATTTGAGTAATGAAATGTCCAGGACGCTACTGCTTATCATTTTTCCAGCTACATGATAAGTAATTTTTCGAGGGAAAGGGAGGAGTCTGGTAATTAATGACTGGAAAACCAGACGAGGGTGTGAATTGGAAATGCCACAGGGGGAGAGCAGAAGCTTCTCTGCTGCCTCCATCTGGAGAACCTTTACAAAGAGGCAGATGATTGGTGCCTTTTTTGGTGGCTTCTCACCTAAGTTCACTCCACTTGATTTTGTGCATTATTGTAATTGCCCTTGCATCTTCCCCTTCAAGAAGGAATAATATCAGTTTCATAGATGTAGATATCCCTATGTACTATTTTTTATGATTTAGAGGAAAGGGTGTAGCTGATTAGAAATTTTAGTTTTCCTATTCTTCTCAATTCATATATTTAGAAGGCATGTGGGAACAAAACAAAAAAAAAATACCCTTGCATTCATTATCTTGTTGTTTTATTCTTATCACCAACTAATTCATTAATTTGATTCAGTAATCTCAATGATACCCACTCCATTATTATTAAAATTGGAGAGGTTCTGCCTCATTATTCATGTAATAACTTCTTCATGGAGGATAAACCTGATTATGCCCATGTCTTTTTCCTGCTCAGTTCTTGACTGTCATCTCATGGACACTGGCAGAAGCACTGTCCTGCACAAGGGTGAATTCATGTTTTCATGTCATTTTTTTTGAGAAGGAAATAGCATGGGCCAGTCTTGTGCCCCAATTATGAGAGTTGTGCGGACAGCAGAATGCTGTCATAAGAAGTGAGAACAGAGAATAGCATGGAAACTAAAGGCAAAAAATTTTGAGGATGAGGATGTAATCAACTGTAAAATACTGAGCACTAAACTAAAAAAAAAAAATCATGCAATCACTCCATACTTCCCAAAATGAAGTTTTTGTTCAAGTGTTTAGTCCATCAGCCCAGGTAGCACTCAACTCTCAGTTCCAGTTCTCTATCCATATCAATTCAGGCCACATCTGAGTCTTAAAGAACAACTTTTCAGCCATCTTTGTATGGAAACTTTCAATGCTTCCCCTTTATGCAGAATAAAAAACTTGGTGCTTGCCCTTCAATGCCTACTGTATCTATCTCTCTGTTGTATGAATTTAAAATTTGACCTCAGTGCCAAAATCTAAATGGTATCCTGATAGAGAGCAATTCATGGCTCTGCAATCCCACCTGACTTCTCAGGATTCTCCGAAATAATTCAAATGCTTGACTGTGCATCTCCATACTGCTTCAGCTGATTGGAACTATTTCCCAAGCATATTTTATGAAGCCCTCCTATAGAAAAGAGACTTCTATGGTTCAGTACATTGGCAAATACCTTCCTTATATGCTGCATTTCATTACTAGAGAGTTACATTGGATATAAATAATTAGACTTATTGAAAAGGCTATAGAAAGGAAACCTTTGTAACTTGGATTAACCCAGAATTTGAATCCTGAGGACATGAACTCAATGTACTGACACATTGATTTTTCAGATTAAGACATTTTAATTTTTTTAAAAAAATAAATGTGAATTGGTTGGCAAATGGGAGATAGAAGTACTATAGTAATGGTTTTCCTTGACTTTTTTTGGAGTGAATATTTCTTGGGAAAGACTCCAAATATTGATGACTTTCTTATAGGAATCAGCTCTGACCAAATGAGAGAAGTTAGAAGAATCTATAGAGATAATTCGACTACTTGATTCTCTAAGAAAATCAAAACTATGTTCCAGATGCGACAATGACTCGTCTCCTTAAGAACTCCTAACCCTAAAGCACCTTTTAAAATTCCCCAAATAATCTAGTCTAGGCTTGGGAAACACAAGTGGTGGACCATTGTTTTCATACTGGGAGCTGTAGCCAATGGGCCAGTCTCCTCTCAATACTTCCAAATAGGAAGAATAGGAAGACTTACCCATCCAATGCTTCCAACCCTCCTGGGCCTGATTCTCTAATTTGCTTCAGTGGGCACTTTATCAATATCCAGATAAATAATCTCTCCTCCTCTTCCTCCTCCTCCTCCTTCTCCTCTTTCCCCTTCTCATTTAGACTTGTGTAGTTCACTAGCTATATGGGACTAAGTTTATTGTAAACTATATCATAAAGTTTACCATTAGGACCAATTTATTAACGTACAGTTCTATGGCATTAAGCACATTTACATTGTTGTGCACCTATCACCATCTGCCTGCAGAACATTTTCATCTTCCTTAAACAGATACTCTGTACTCCCTTGTATACTAGGTCCCCATTACCCTCTCCTCACAGCCCATGGAAACCACCATTCTGCTTTGTCTCTGTGATTTTGACACATAAGTGGAATCATCCATTTCATGTTTATTTCATTTGGAAAAATGTTTTCCAGGCTCACCTATGTTGTAGCATGTGCCAGAATGTCCTCCTTTCCATTCTATGGATTTACCACTTTTTGTTTATATATCCATCTGTTAATGGGTTCCATCTATCTTTTGGCTATTGTGAATAATGCTGCTCTGAACAAAGGTGTGCAAATATCCGGTCAAGTCCCTGTTTTCATCTCTTTTGGGATATACCCAGAGGAGGTATTGTGAGATCATATAGTGATTCTATTTCTAATTTTTAGAGTCACCAACACCATTTTCTATGGTGCCTGTCCCATTTTGTATTCCCACCAACAGTTTCTCCACATTCTTGCTAATACTTATTATTTCCTTCCCTCTTCCTTCTTTTCCTCCCTCCTTCTCTCCCTTTCTTTGTTTCATAATAATCATCCATGGTTATGGAGTAATATCTCATTGTGGTTTTGGTTTTCATTACCCTGATGATTAGCAGTATTGAACATTTTTTCTTGTACTTTTTTGACCATTGTATATTTTCCTTGGAGAAATGTTGGTTCAAGCCTTTACACATTCTCTAGTGCAGTTTTGTTATTGTTTCTGAGTTTAAGAATCATTTATATTTTATGGATACTTACTTTTTTTTTTACCAGATAATACAATTCACAAATATTTCTTCCCATTTTGTAGATTGTCTTTTCACTTTCTATTGGTAGTGTCCTTTGATGCACAAAAGTTTTTAACTTTGAAGTCCAGCTTATCTATTTTTTCATTTGCTACCCATGTTTTGGTGTTATGACCAAGAAACCATTGCCTAATCCAATGTAATGAAGTCTTCTCCTACAGCTTTTATAATTTAGCTCTTATATCTTTGAT